GTACATTAACAAATAGCATTATTTGTTAATTAACAAATTACTCATGGACATTAACAAATAAGACCCCATTTCTCTTTTGTGGGTTGCAGTTAAAAGACACCAAAGACGTGAAAGTCAATTAAAAACTCAAAGAGTTAAGTCATCTCACTTTGCCCATCTCCAAATCTCAGCTCCATGTGTCCCTGCTATATTTCTGTCCCCATCTCACCAGAGAGACTGTTTTTTCTGCTTATTGACTAACTGTATCAGACATCTGAATATTAGTTCCATGAAAATATGAACATATCTCTTTTCTGATGCTATATTCCAGCACACAGTAGGTACTTGATATTTATTGCCAAGTTACTCACCCACTATAAGAGTTCACAAAGAGCTAAGTGTGTCATCTGCAGCCTTCATTATAGTAACTATAATCTATTGTTCTTTATCTCACTACTCACTGACTTTAATGCTTTGTATAACTTGTCATTAAGCAAACTCTGAAGGGGGAATTAAATAAAGCATTGACTGTTGAAAACTAAATACTAAACGTATTTGTCCAGCCTAAACTGTACTGTACTTTATGTCATTATTCTCCCTATGAATGAACAGTCCTTTGCCCACTTACATGTTAGTCCATTAGTTACTAAAGGAAATTGTTTTGTTATTTAATTGACAAACAGCATGATGTATGTGTGGAGTGTTTTTATTTTTATTTTCTAAAATAATGTTTTTATTCTTTGAAATTTTCATATATCTTGATCATATCCAACCCCATCCCCTAATTCCTCTGATATCCACTCCTACCTCCCTACCAACCCAATTTCATGTCCTATTTATTTGTTATTTACTTTAAAACCCATAGAGTCTAATTTATGCTACCCAAATAGTCTTCAGGGCAGGGCCTTCTACTGGAATGATGTCTACTTACTGGGGATTACACCCTACTGCCCCTCTCCCAGCAGCTATCAGTTGCCAAAAGCACTATTTTAATCATGTTCTTCATGTTGACAGTTAAATTGTTAATGAACAGGATTATATTAATTTCTAATGGAAAACAATGAAGAGCCTTTTATAAAAACTTGTAATCCTACTTGAGGTTTTTACGTATTTATCATTTGAACAACTCAGTGAGATCAACAAACTCATCTTAGCAAGTAGGCAGAAGAGCCAGCTCAAGCTGGCCTGCAGTTAGAAGGTTGGTTACCGGTTACTTGTAGATGGGATCATGCTCACCTTGACATCTAACTGCAGTTGAGGTGGTGCCAACTTCATTACGAAGCAAATGTGCTCCGGAGATGCAATCACCGTTAATTTCTTCTTGATCGTCCTTAAGGGCTTCTTCAATTGAAACCATAAACATACACAATTGTATTCTGTTATTATCCCTGTCTGAGTAAGCAACACAAAGAACCCACAATCTCATCAAAATAACCCATTGTACCCTGTAATTTATAAAGCTGTCTCATGGTGATGCGGTAGTTAAAGATAACATCCATTCGCAATGCAACAATTTGAGTTGTTTTTCCAAGGCTGTAATACGATGCTCTTAGCTGCAATCAAACCTAATTTATCCCAAGTTTTTGCTTTCAAAGGCAATACTGGGTCCCACATGTCTAAACACAGTAGTTAGGAACAAAAATAAATCAATGTCCTTTTTCCTCCATCTATCTCTTGGCCTCTCACATGAATCTCTGTCTCTCTTTTTCACCAGTCTCCCTTCCCTCATCCAATCATTAAATTCCTGGTATATTTTAGAAATGCAAAGTAATGCACCTTACTCCATACCAACTAGCTCAGGCTCCAAGTGAAAGCTGTTATAATCCTCTTAGTGTTCCTCAGGAGACTTTAATAGCACCCTTTCCTTGGAGCAATGCCTATCAATGACTCAGTAGTTAGTCTTCAGCATGACAATCCACCTTCTATTGCCACATTTTTTACATGAGTGCACATGATCTTCATATATTATTGAAATCTTTGCTCCATATTAAGGCTGTGTTGATGAATTACCTCTTCCTACAAGAAGGGTCTCCTCAGAACTGTTTGATTGGTTCTTGGTAGCTTGTACTAAGGAAAGAGGATAAACCACAAGGTGTTGAAAGACAATGCCTGCCAAGGCATCCCTCTGATAAAAGGGGTTCCTCTGCCTTGTAGGCAGAGGTCTCTTCTGTGGATGAATGATAAAGGAATACAGGAGTTGGCTCCACTCAACTATGAAGGAGCCAACAAGGATGCAAAGCCCATAATTGCAGGCTAGAAAGTGAAAACAGTACTTGGAATGGGGAAGACATATCGCGTGTTCAGAATGGGAGAATGCTACACATGATTCCATTCTTTTGGTTATTTTATTTTATTTTTTGAGATGCAGTCTCATATCCCAAGCTGGGCTCCAACTTGCTACATTCTTAAAAAAGACTCTGAACTTCCTTGAACCCAGAGCCTTGTGCATGCTAGAACTCCACCAGCTGAGTTGCATGCCATGCCCCAGGTAACATATTTAAACAAATCCAGTTGCTGGGAAAAAATATATTCTCAAATTATAACTCAATTACTGTCTATCTTTGGTAGCACTGTGGTTGTATGTGTTGATCCATTTCTCCTAACTCTTAAGTGACCTCCATTGCTCCATCTCAATGCTCTCGAATTCTGAGACACTGAAGATGAAAACTGATATGAATTAGGAGAGGAAAATAATTCAGTCATTTCAGGGAGGGAAGTCAATCCCATGTTTGGAGGAAAGAAGTAAAGAGATGGTGAAAAGAAAGCAAGTTATCTATTATTCGCTAGACAAGCAGAACTCATTTTAATAAATCAGAAATGTAATTGGACAATTGCTTTAGTGATTATTTTCTCATCACATCATGGGATCTACATTTAGTCTTAAAATTAATCTATAGCCCCATCCCCCAGCCAGAATATGTGAATATCCCCGACACATGACAGAGGAAACAGAACTCTCCCATTGGCTTTTGGAACAAGATCAATGTCATCATAAAATTTTGATTCTAGATGTACTTCCAACTACATGCTCACCTGCCTGCAGCCCATGCCAAAAGCAATCAGAAAGGGGGCTCTCGTGCTAAATATTGTTGTTCCAAGGCAAGAGAGTTCAAAGAAAAGGGAGCTGTTACCAAGAGAACTGGAGGTTTCTTATGGCTTTTGGTTATTGGACTAACTGAACTAATTTGATTTTTTTTCTGAAAACTCCAAGATGCTGCCCTGAATGGCTCATGCCTGGAAATCGCATCCTTTAAAGTATAGTACTAGGGATAGTTCATGTGGCATAAATAGCTTTAGGAACTAATTTCAAAATATGGGACAGGCAAGTAACTACCTCTTTACTAACATTAAGACATTTCCTTATGTCTCCAACTCTCCATAGTTTTTTTTTTTTTTAAAAAAAAAAAAAAGCAATAGCCCAGTGCCGTAAGAAAAAAACTGCCTCCCCTCTGCTCAAAGTTTCATTCTGGAAGTTAAGTAAGTTAGTTATTTACTTGGAAGTTACATACTTGAAACTCAGGTTTCTGGTAAACTTGCCCATCTCAAACACAGCCAAGAACCAGAAATAAACCTTGGGCAGCAAACCTGAGCATCATTGCACTGAGGGTCACACAGACACTCTCTTGTGAGCTTATTAACCCTTCCTACACATGAATTGCAAATGAATGTGGAGGTCATCTGATTTCTGGGTCCAGTGAGCATCAGACTGTAAACAGACTTTTATTGGCCAGAAGACAGTAGAAGGGAAAGTCACCTGGTTGTAAGGAAAATGTTTCTGAAGACAAGTTTCTAACAAGCAAGTGATTTTTAAAAGTGGGTAAATGTGAAGGTTAGTATATGGATCAAAAGTGTCTGTTCTTAGGTTTGGGGGGGGGCCCTACTCCTCATATGGGTCACCTTTCCCTGCCTTAATACATGGGGAAGGTGCTTAGTCTTACTGCAACTTGATATGCCATGTTTTGTTGATACTCCTGGGAGATCTGCCCTTTCCTAAACAGAAATGGAGGAGGAGTGGATGGGGTATGTAGAAACAAATGGGGTAGGGAGGGGCTCTGGGAGAAGAGGAGGGAGGGAAAATTATTTATAAAATAAATAATTCATTTATTTAATAAATAACTTTTAAAGTGCCTGTTCTTGTCAAGTGTCCTGAACTCCAAATATAATGTGTAATGATGACCTTGAATTAAGGAGATTGAGGAATTAAGGAGAGTATGATGTTATTAGCCAACTGTTTATGTTGATAAAGAACTGCATTGCTCTGGAAATAGTCCCATTCTGAATAAACTATGGGAAAACTTAAAAACATTAGCATTGGAAAAGATTATTTTCACTTACAGGAAATTACATATCATTGCCTAAGATGATTCACTTTAATTGTCCATTTCTAGCCAAAAGACATTCTCTGTAAGTCACCTCCTGCCACATTGTCGGGTCAAGTGACAACCTTGCTCTTTCTGTAAGGCCATACCTGACTGTGCTTTCTTTCCTACATTATCTTGACCTTTCAATGGGCAGGATGGTACAGATTCATCGGTCCCTGCCACAGGTTGGGAGGCTTAAGGTGAGTCAATATCTCTCAGGGTTAATAAGACCACTTAACTTTATTTTCCATATAGATGTAACTATATTCCTCTCACATAATGTACCAATCCATTTATAATCTTCTATCCAAATTCTAGAATATTCAAGTTATGCACTAATATAAAATGGAGTGTGTCTCGGGATTCAGATTTCCAGTTTAGGCTTAAAACTGAAAACAAAGAGTGCTAGTTAGCCCAGCAACCACCCAGGACTAGGCCTGGCTGAGGAGGAGCTACAGCATCTGTTTACAAGCCCTCTTTTGGATAAGACAAAGGACATCTTCTCTTCCTCAGAGCCAAAGAGGTGAGGAGAGTTCTGGAGGATGACCCTTAGAAAGTGCCCTCTACACAGGAAGATTGGCCTGTGTTGTTGAAACTCAAACCACCATTCACCAAGGGAATGGCCATGGAGAACTTGTTCTGAGCCGATAACTTCCGGGTATGACCTTAGAGACTGCTGCTGCTTCTGAGCTAGAGAGGTCCAAAGGGGAAGACTCTGGGCCCCCTGAAGTGTGGGATACTGGAGAAAAGATGCAAGCTACCCCACCCCCACCTCCTTCAAAGTTAGTGTGGAAGAGTGGCACTGCTTTTCTCAGCCTTCCCCAAAAAAATAAACGGAGGAAAATGAAGGTGAGGAGTTACAGAAAGACACAAATGGGCATGTTCTTTCTGATGAAAGGACCTAGAAAGGGCATGGAGACCTCCATCAGTAATGGTGGTCGGAATTGCAGCTGAGCGGGAGACCACGCCCCACTGCCAGTAGCATCTATGACAGAAACCGTCTGCACCGGCTTTTCCTGTCCTGATTCATGCACCAACTTCCTATTTGACTTTCTGTGACCCCAAGGCCAGTCTGCAAACCGGGAAGGAGGGCGGGGCTGAATCAAATACTGGACTAACGTATTCAGCGGGAACAGAGAAGTGATGGGACATGTCCCGGGTGCAAAAAAAAAAAGGGGGGGGTTTACTCAGAGTTGAAAGCAGCAATTTTGAAAATGTCCTAACTCGGGATTGTATTTCTTGGGGAAAATAATATCATAGTTTAACGTTACAGCCTTCAAACAACATTTCTAAATATACTTCTATAGAGAAATCGGGGATTCTTTACACAAGAAGATGGAGTTATATAAAGAACTTCTAGTTCTTGTTTCTGTTTTTCCATGGACATCTTTCCCGCATGAATATTTAGTTGGGGCCCAGTTAGCATTGCACTCTGCCCTGCACCTGGATCTACCTACAGGGGTCAGGGTGGATAGAGAAGTCCTCCTATCACACAATTGACAAAGTCTACTGTTCTTCCGTGTTAGAGACCAGGATACTGAGACACAACGAAGTTAAGAACCTGCTCCACTCCTGTTACCAGGAAAAGCTGGACTCAAGCTCGGGCATCCAGGCTACCCAGCGGGCCTCAATTCACACCAGCCCTATTGTGATTCACACTCATTTAAATTTGCTTTTGCCCATTACCTAGCACTTAGGTGTTATTTCACATCGTTGACTATTAATGACGCCGCACATTTTGTTATTGTGTTGATATTGCATTCCTTTTTAAGCAAGTGCTTGTTTATAATCCTTGCCAAGAAAGTTAGTTTGTTGAACAGAGAGTCTTGCTACATAGCATAGGCTGGCCTGGACCTCACCATGTAACCCAGACAATCCTTATAACTTCGCTTCCTAAACGCTAATATTACACGCTTGGTAATCCTTGAATTACTTGGTATTAATCTTTTTCTGCATTATTTATAAGAACTCTTATTTTTAACAGCCCAACTATTGGGTATATGTAAATATTTTCCACGATGTCCTTTCATTTTGCTTATGTGCCTATACTGTTTATTTACTTATTGTATAATCCTATAATTCAGTTTCCCGCTTTTATGGCTTTTCAAAGATCATCTCTTTCATCAATGTCTTATTATTCTTTTAGATTTTCTTTTATTTTTTTCAGCATCTTAATTATGACTATTTTCAAGCAAGCACTCAAACTGAATGTCACATGGAACACTTGTGTATGCACCACCTAGATTTTCACCATGATCATCTTACGTACTTGCTGTATCCACAGGCATGCATCTACTCATCCCTTTACTTCTCCATTCTCCCAGCTTATTTTGGTACTTTCCAACACAAATTACAGGCAGCAGCACACTTCTAAATCATCATTGTTGTATTCTAAAACGTCTCACTCTACAAACACCGTTGTACAAGCTTTAATAAATCATAAATAATATATCACTACAAACTAGACGCTTGTATCTCCCTACAAAACTTTATGTCAATTCACTAAGGATGAAGTGAGCAAATTTTAAGCATCCTTCCACTGAGCTTTGACAAGTGCACACACCTAGACACCTGTATAGACCAAAGTTCTCTCACAGAGTTCCCTGCCACAACTACACGGAAAAGGCTGTTGTAGAATTTTGTGCATAGTGATATATCATCTGTAGAATTTGTTCACATCTTGCTAGCTGAGGTACAAATAGAGCTCTTGGTGATAACAGTTTTCAAGGATCTGGGTGTGATGAGGGGCTTTGTAATACACGGATGTTGTCTCCTGTAGGAGCAAAGGGCAGGTGCACTTACAACTGACTCCAAAAGATGCAGTTTGGTAAGTTAGGACCCTCTGCACTGGAACGGCAGGTCAAGAAAATGTCCCCTCTGGCCACCATTGTAGCTGTGCATAGCAAAGTCATCTGCCTCTGACCCAGGAGTCCTGTATACTCTGTTAGTATACATTGAAATGTGGGGGGCTCTCTGGTTAACTTGCAAGTAGGCTAAAAGACTAGATAGACCCTTTGTGGTTCTTAACATGCAGCTGTTCTGCTTCTGTCACAGGGAAATACCCTATTTAGCATAGGTCAATTCTCTGTTCTGTTGGAAGTGGATGCCTAACCTCTGTCCAGTTGCTTTTCTTTTCTTTCCTTCTTATTTTTCTGTCCATTGCTTGCTATGGCTTAAACTTCCATAATCCTTGTGCAAGTCTTTTTATAAATATGTTTTCACTTTGGGGATGTGAGTGGAGCAGAATTGTCAGGTTACAGAGTAGACATATGTTTAATTTTGTTAAAAAGCCCAGCCCTTTCCTAAAGAGACTGTGCCATTGCTCATTCCTACCAACATATATGAGAGGTCCAGTGGATCAATAGATTTGTTAGTGATTGATGCTGTCTACTTGCTTTGTTTTAGCTGTTTCCACGAGTATTCTAATAGTGTCTGGTTGTGGTTTTCATTTGCATTCTTCCACGGACTAATGGCATCAGTGCATTTGGATGATGGATCATTTATGTTCTATCAGAGAACGTAGTGTCTTTCTCCCTGTAGACAGATATAGTGACCAGTGTCTTTGCAGCCTCTAGAAATCCTGCCTCCACTAAACTGAAAGTCGGGTACATATGGGTTCCCTGGACACTTACTGTCTGGAAAGAAATGGCATGCTTCAGCTGCTATGATGGGAGGCCTGCCTTTCTTTTGCTTCCCAAGGAGTCAACATCAGTAGAAAACAAATCAGACATGTCATTTGGGGGCAGAGGCATAATCCTGGTTCCATTGTTTCTGTCCCTGTGTGCCATTGCTAAATAACAACAAACTTGATGGTTTATGCTCATGTACAGTTACGATCTCACAGTTTCTGTAGATTGGGAGTTGGAATATGGGTTAATTGGACCCTCACCTCAGGATCCCCAGATCTGAAGTGGAAATACCAGCTAAGCCGTGTTCTTAAAGTTGCTGAGAAGTGTGTGTACATACAGATGCTGGTTGGGTTCTTTCCATTGTGGCCATATGATGGGGGCCCTGGGTTCATTTCCTCATGGCTATATGAGTGGGGATCCTGAGCTTTGATTGGCAGAGGCTGAAGTCCTTAAGCCTCAATGATAGATTTCTGAGGAAACATAAAGAGACAGAAGGCAGAAAGAGACCAGAGTCTGACCTTCAATTGATAAGATTGTCTTTATTAGTATACACAGCAAAGAGCAGCCTCTCTCCCAGAGGAAGTGGAGGAGTCTGCCGGGGAAAAGCTGGCTGCAATGATCAATAGGGGCAGGGTAAGGGGCTTGGGAATGAGGACATTGCTGCAGCTGTAGGATGTGCTGAGTGTCCCTCCTGCAGTCTCTCCTTCCTGAAATTGTTTGCCCAAGGCCTACAGACCATCAAACATTCTTTTATGGGATGAATGAGCAAAGTCACCTATAATATCATAGGAATCCTGTTTTACAACCTGGGCAGTCTATTATTCTGTATCCTCATTCCTAAGATTCAGATAATGATTGTGCTTACCTCAAAGGTTGTCAGGAGGATAAATGAAGATAGCTTAAATAAAGTGATATATGCATCTACCTGGCCCACAATTGTATGTCCTGCTCGGGATTGTTAACTGTTGTTATTGTTATTTAAAATGTAAAGTTGTGTTGGGTGTAGAATAGACCTTATAGATTAAGAACTCAAGACCTGAGTTAAATGATAAAATGTTCTGCATTCAATCACATGTCTTCTTCTCTAGAAACTTCTGGTTTTTCTCAGCGGACATGGCAGTGAGGTATGTATGTGGTTTACATGTTTAAACTGTAAGGCAAAAGGGAAGAAAGAGAGATGAGATCCCCAGGATGTTCCAGCCTCCCTATGATGTGGAATCACGGTGTTAAATCAGCCCACCATGAAACAAGGAGCACATGGACCGTGCTGGCCAGCCTTTTAAGAAATATAGCAAATCAATGTCATTTCTTACATCTCATTGTTTGGTTATGCTGTGTTCAAGCCCAGGTCTCCTCTGTCACTGTGATCTCAAACATGTAGGTCAATGGGATAGGCCTTGAGGCCAGAATGCCTCATTTTCACTGGGACACTTCAAGGTCACTGTTACATTTATTTTCGCTGGGGAAGAAAAACACAGGCTCATTCTGTACTTTGAGTACAGAACCGGGTTCTCAATCCCATGGTTCAGACCCGGGATTCTTAGCATCCTACCTGACTCCACATGCTGAATGACTGTTTCTCATGCAAAGAAGGAAGGTAATGCCGTTGCACACAACTGTTCCTTAGGAACTTTGAAGTCACAGTTAATGTAGTCATTGACTGTCAAGTTGACCTAAATGTGCATTCTTCATGTGTCTCTCCAGTAGCTGCATGGCCATCACCAGATCCATGACTAACATGTCTCTAGGTTGTGGCAACACTAAATCCTCCTCATCCCTTAGTCCCTCAGTTTATACCATGAATATTTCCACCAGTTAATCAAATGTGCTACCATATATACAGTGTTGTATTATTATGAGAATTTTTTTTTCCAGACAGGGTTTCTCTGTGTAGCCTTGGAGCCTATCATGACACTCACTTTGGAAACCAGGCTGGCCTCGAACTCACAGAGATCCACCTGCCTCTGCCTCCTTGAGTGCTGGGATTAAAGGCATGAGCCACCAACACCCGGTGAGAATTTTGTTTTAATAAAAATGAACATCTACATTTTTATATGAAATCTCTCATATGCTAAGTGTTGATAACCGATTTTTAAAAATGAAAATACCCTTTGGTGAAAATGAACCATGTGTGTGGCTTGTACTGTGGCTGG